TTTGACCGCAAACACCAAAGTAAGGGGGGGAACACGAAGACAATAGGAGGGTTACATTGACGAGAAAGCGGCGTATGCATTAGGATCCTTGTGATTAATAGGTCTTAGTAGTTTAACCTTTCGTTTATAGTTCATTACAGAGTTAAAGGTAACATTGAGATCACCTATGAGTGATGTAAAGCTTCCTGTTAACTTTATTGCATCCTCCCGTCAAAAAAGGCAACAATGCCTTACATGAGGCTTTAAACCCGTAGTCTACAAATCAAAAGGCAACGTGACAATGTACAGATCCTGTTTTCTTTGTTTGCAATTTATTAGTATGTACACTTCTGTTGTTGTGCTAAGAAAAAAAGAAGCAAATGCTACACTATAGGGCTGCACGATTTTGGGAAAAAATCGAATTGCGATTTTTTTCTGACAAATATTGCGATTGCGATTCGAATTGCGATATTTGTTTTTAAGCGACCCAACGGAAGTTTAGGGGTGCTCCGCCTATATGGGCAAGGTCGTATCAACGTACTCCCGTCTCTAGCACCCCCGCAGCCCGAGCTACGAGTGAAAAAACTAAACTTACATGAAACTTCCGTTGGGTTGCTTTAAAGTCGAGCTTCAGTTTAAGATTCACCCTGTAATAGAAACATGTGATGGAGCATTACTAACCTGACTCAGACGCTTTGGTTCACCAAACCATTGGAAGCCATTTGGAAAAGGGCAGGCACTTTCAGAAGCACTTAGCAGGTGATTGGATCAATCTGTCTATCACCTTCTATCATGGGCCACTTCTGATTGATTAACAATGGCTGGTACATGTGGAGCACAGCACTTCTGATTGGTGTGGATGACTGACACACAAGAAAAAAAAAATGTGGAAAAAAAGTAAAAAATAATCGCAGGCTTTGCGATTTGATAATCGCATCATTTCAAATCGCGATTTCGAATTAAAATCGATTAATCGTTCAGCCCTACTACACTAAAAACATTGTAATCTGTAGGGATTTGGTTATACTGTATAGGACACTGCTATGTTAAAACCTGCAGACCATGTAACGTGAGTTATGAAGGACACTTACTTGACACATGTACACATTTGTCATCCGGTGGTGTACATCCTTCAGGAGACCATGTATTCTTTCCCAGGTTTGAAGAGCACTGTGATTTAAATGCTAGCAATTATATTGATCTATGTTCGCTTCAAGGCCTTTTCATACCAGTTCCTGCACTAAATGTGAGTCTTTTTGATAAGAACTCCGCTTTAGACAGTAATCTGTAACATCAAAGTTATAGTTAAAGTAATTTATTTTTGTCGCTTACACAGACAAAATCCATATTGATTCCTCTCTCAAATATGACAAGACTGGATAGAAGAAAGGACTGGTATCTGTCACACAGCTGCAGGGAGAACTGAAACCTTTGCTTTCCTCTCACAAGGTGCAGAGGATTCATGAGTTTGATAAAACATATTATCAAGAAAAAGATGGTTGTTATTCTCTCAAAGGATGCTTAAATTAACAGACTTCGAAAGAGCATTTTTCAGATGACATTTGGTTGAAACTTTGACCACACTGTCACTAATGAGTGTCATCTCGAGTGAGCTTTGTTGTAAACACATCAAACAATGACGTCACTGTGTACCTGCAACACCCTGAGAACACACCTACTGTGACAAGAGAAGAACTTCTATATTATACTATAATATTACTGGGTGATGGCATTAAGATTTCCTCAGCTGTTAAGGTATTGTTTAAAGGTTATTAAGCGGTTAGATGCTAATGAAATGCTCCTCAAGATTAGATGTATGCTGCTGCAATGCAAACATTTCCCATATGCAATTAATAAAGTACATCTTATCTTTATCTTATTTGTGGCCATCATCCTCGTGTTGCTTTAATGCTTTAATATTTATTATATATTATTATAAAGAACTTCACATTCTCACAGTCCTATACAATTTATCTCTCTATAAATATCGTCTAGACAGAAAGAGCAACTTGAGACCTAAGAACTTTTGGTTTAAACAAGATCCCTGCTCAAATAAACATCTTCACTGACCTATCTGAATTTTTTATCAATTGAGCCTCCCTCGCTGATGAAGGATGGGACGATTTGAGGACATAACCCAGTGTTCATCATAGATTGTCAACTGAATTGTGTGTAGTGAGGAAGACAGAATATTGAAATAAAGAAATTACTTTTGTGCATCAAATACTATTAACCCTCCTGTCTTCAGGTCAAACCTGACCGATTTACTACTTTCACCAATCATAACTTTTTTGTTTTACATTCGATTGCATTAAGGCTTTATGATATCCTTCACAGTAGACATTTGAACATATAAAATTGCTGATCACCACTTTCATTGAATTTTGCATGATTTAGTCAACTTTGTAACACCCATGGTGTTCCCGCCCGTTCAAAAATGACCGCCATAAAGAAAAGGAATTAGTAACCATCTGGATCAGATAAAACACACACACACACACACACATACCATGTATACATAACTTCAGGGGACATTACATTGACTTACATGCATTTCCTGGAGACTTATCCTAACCTTAACCATAACCAACACATGCCTAGCCCTAACCTTTACCCTTAACCTTACCCTAAACCTAACCAAGTCTTCACCCTAAAATTAATTATTCCCCTCATGGGGACCTCCATTTTGTCCCCATAAGGGAGGCGAGTCCCCACACGTGACTGTGTAAACAGATTTAGGTCCCCACAAGTATAGTAATGCTAGGCCACACACACACACAAACACACACACAAATACTCTAGATGTCCCATCCCCCCATGTGAATCACACCTGACACACACACACACACAGAACAATTTGATACATTTCCCGCTCTTATGTGCCCATCCCCCCACATGGATCACACCTGGCACACGCAATACATGTTCAGTGTCTGTTCTTTGTATATTAACTGCAGTGTTTCATGTATACCAGTAGTCTGATACAATATTTACAGTTTGAAAGGGTGTTAATGAAATTTGGTGATGATTAATGGTTTTTGTGTTAATGTAATAGCAGTCAAAACAGGATCGGTCAAATTTGACCGCGAACACCAAAGTAAGGCGGGAAAATTAAGACAATAGCGCTCTTTCGACTCCACTTCGAGCGATAGAACTATTAACGAAGCACTTTTATACTAATAAAGGACTGGCTTTTCTAAAGCCAGTTGAGTAGCACTTGAAATGTTTTTGCTCTATGAAACCTGATGTACTTATATGATTCTGTTTTCTTCAAGTTGTATTTTGTTGGACGAACGCACTTATTGTAAGTCGCTTTGGATAAAAGCGTCAGCTAAATGCAATGTAATGTAATGTTAAGTGAGACTGAGATCAATAATTCATCATTTGATTTACTAACTTATTGAGTTCATCTATACATTACATGTTTTATTTATCCAGCTATTCTCATTTTGTTCATTCGTATTCATGGTTTTGCTGTATTTTCTGCTAAATGTTAACATTTTGACATTAATCTATTTAGTTCCTCAATTAACTACACTGTAAACCCGAACGTTCAAAAATAATTAAATAGATTAATTAGTGTAAACTTAAATTTAAAAAAAAGTTCTACTAACTTCAATATATTCAGTTCCTGTGACTGTTCTTCGTTTTTGAGTTAAGTAAACTGATAATCTTTGATTAACTTGAACTATTTGGCGGATTAAGTAAGCATCACTTAAACATATACATTGAACTGTACTAATTTCTAATGCTTATTGTGTGTCGGACGTCACTAACTGTCGAAAGTGGGATGCAGCACATGCAGTAAGGTGGATCTTCACACTTAATTTCCACACTTTCCGGTGGTAATCAGCATCATTGGTCTCACTGTAAGTACAATATTCATATTTCTTCACTTTTTTAAATATTTTGAGATTAAACATGTGAAAGAGAGTGTTGATGTTAGCCAGATACATGCATGTTAGCTAGCATTAGCCATAGGTTGAGTCAGCAGATTCACAGAAATGCCTGAATTATTTGCACAGTTACTGTATAATGTTAACTTGTAAGATATGTAGTTGTGGAAACTTGGTGCCAAAATAGGGCTGTCACTTTTTGTATATATGATGAAAAATGTCATTGCCCCTAAGCTAATTATGTATTCAAAAAGTTCAGCCAAATGCATTGTGGTTGTGGGTGCTCGTAGTGACGGCAGCCGTTGAAACACGAACATAACAGGTAGGTTTCCTAATAAAAGCCTTCAATGTTAGTTTAATCAATTTATACTCAAATGTGTGTCATAATATACCCAACCATTTACTTAATTTACTACGAACAACCCCGAAGGCATTGGACTGAAAGTCACTATTTAACACGGTCACTAGCTAGCTAGTTTGCTAACAGTTAGCAAGCTAACATTTTCATCCACTGTAAACCACGAGGTGCGGAGGATTGTGTGTGCTCCCTCCGTGCTCTCCTCGCTGCCGCTGAATTAAGAGACCCGCTGCTAAAGTTTAACACTCTCCTTCACCCAGGTTTCAACCTCTTTATACGGTTTCAACGAGCGTGAGGCCACACACACGGGACGGAGCAGAGCAGAGACAGGTAATGTTACATTGAATATAACGTTGTCAGTTATAAACAAGCTCGGTAGTGAACGCTTGTCCATTTGTTGTCCATTAATTCATCATTTACCATACTAACATTTCCCCAATGGATGTTTAAGAATGTATTAAGCAGTAGCTTACATTACATTTTAAATATAGGATTTGTTCAGCTTTAGTCTGAAGGAGATAAACCACACTGTAAACCACGAGGCGCGGAGGGTTGTGTGTGTTTGTGTTCCCTTCCTCGCTGCTGAATTACGAGAGCCGCTGCTAACGTTTAACACTCTCCTTCACCCAGGTTTCAACCTCTGTATACGGGTTCAACAAGCGCGAGGCCACACACACACACACACACACACACACACACACACACACACACACACACACACACACACACACACACACACACACACACACACACACACGCGGGGCAGAGCAGAGAAAGGTAATGTTAAAGTGAATATAACGATGTCAGATTATTAACAGGCTTGGTAGTGAACGCTTGTCCATTTGTTGTCCATGAATTAATTTACCATACTAACATTAACTCAATGGATGTTTAAGAAGTTATTAGGCAGTAGCTTACATTACATTTTAAATATAGGATTTGTTCAACCTTCCCCAAGGAGAGGATCCCTCAAGTCTTGAGCACTTGAGGCAGACAATTGTTGAGGAAGTCAAGAAGACTGAGATGGACCTACCCCTCATTAAAAAGATGATGCACACCACATTTGCACTGCGGCGACAGACCATAGTGAGGACATGCCCGGCAGTGAACGAGCTCATGGACCTCTGGCCTGCTCTCAAAATGGAGTCTGAGGTAATATGGATTAGCTCTCTTTTTCCTGTTTTCTTCTTTATTGATAATGGCACATTCTGTGACTCTTATAGTGGCTATTTGCTGTATATAGGAGTGTCATAGATCTTCAAAGTTCCAGCTCCTTCCCTGTGGTGTAATGAAATGCAAGGAAAAGAACAGTCCAGGTGAAGTTCTCGTTCTTGCCACAGGGAAGGAACTGACTGGTCAAACTTGGAGGATCTATTACATTTGTAAGGAGGATACCACTTTAACCTAGTTTGATTTATTTGGAACTGACTAATTGACATTGCTGTATTGTCCTTCTGCTCTGTTTTTTAAATAGGTGTATGCAGAGTTCCAACGGATTACAAACCAGAATCTGCCCAACACGTTCTACGCTGCTTTTGACCGCCATCTTCCTCGACTGATGGCCATATTTAGACAGAAGGCGTCCAAATCTGGGAAGACAGCTGAGGCTTTGGCTGAAATTTTAAAAATCCATGATGAACAGGTAAAGAGATTATTTTACAATTCAAAGGTTGAACATCTAACGTTAAACAGATTTAAAAAATATCTTTTGAATTTTACAATTAGCCCACTTTGTTTTTGCTATTTGTCTGATTGCATTAAAGATGTGAACAGGTTGTCTGTGGATATATGTTCTGATTGGATTGACAGGTTTGTTCAGTAAACTTCACAGTCAACAGTTTGTACGCTTGTATTTTTATCGTTATAGGAATTACACGACATCAACACCAGGCGTACCACCGTTATCCATGCCCTTCCTGTGTATCTGCAAGAGGACACCTCTGGATTTTTCCGAACCTGCACAGTGAGTCTCCTTAATTAATTAACAGTACCACTCTATGTTAAGTGAATAGTTCATTAAAATACAAATATTTGTTTGCACTTATCCTGTTTCTGTCTATCCATCCATATAGTTTGTGTGATTTGCAGAGGTTTTGGTCTGTTTTCCTTCACCCAAATACAAATGAACTGAACCTTTTTTTTTGTTTGAAGCGATACTGAAGTTAAGTAAAACATTTATTGGATATGTTTTATCTCCTGGCACTTGGTTTCACTGGTAGCTCGTCTGATTCTTTGGTGTAGAACACCTGTTTTACACCTTTAAATGTGTAGTCTGTTGACAAAACAACTCTCTAAAACATAGTTCTAACTAAAATATGAACAACATATCTCCAAGAGTTGCAGTCAAAAGATATTGCCACACAGAAAATCACAATTTTTTTAAATGTACCTGCGAGGCGCGTGTGGCGCAGTGGATAGAGCATTGGTGTTCGGATCACAGGTTCAAACCCTACTGCAGTCAGCATGTCGTTGTGTCCCTGAGACACTTCACCCCAAATTGCTCCTGTGGGGATTGCCCACAGTATTGAGTATGTAAGTCGCTTTGGATAAAAAGCGTCTAACAAGTAACATGTCATGTAATGTAATGTAATGCAGCTTTAGTATCTGGTTCCGGCCATTTGTTTTAGAAATTAAAACAGTCTAATCCCTTAACCAGTTAAGCCCGAAGGTCCCCCCAGTGGACCCCTCCCACAGTTTTTTTTTTCTCACATGTCTCAGGGCTTCTTAACATTTATGAAACTATTAAGGTTTCATACCCTTTTAAAGGTAAGAAACTCCGCTAACTGACAATAAGAACAATTGTTAGCTAAAAAAAACACGAGTAATACCAAGCCTTTGAATTAGCATTGAGCGAAAAAATGCTAACTAATGCTAACGCTTTTTTACACACAACACACGGTAGAAATGCCCTTATTACTATCTTAACTGCACAAACAAGATATACGATTTAAAGCTGAGACTCCACAGATTCCACACATGTAATGTCATCACTGTCCGACCTCGAATTCCTGGAGCTATCAGCCAGAAAAGAGAAAGTAAACAACATCCGGTTTCAAAAATATTACAATAATTACGTCTTACCTTTTTTGATTTGTGATCAAAAGTTGTGTTCAACGGAATAAAAACGCATCTCAAGGTTAATCCAATGTCTTTGTGTCACGTATAATTTTTTACTGATAATCAATCATCATATTTATGGCAATATACTCGGTATAAAGTATTGCCGTCCAGGCTTGCACTTTCAGATATGCTTCGTTTGCTTCTCTATTACGTCCGCTATGGTAATGTTTACGTATATGTGGGAACTGCCCATCGATTCTATTGGTTCTGATGGTTAAGAAAAAGGTGTAAATCACACGAATCGACCAATGGGTTCCAGAGATATGGTCCTGCGCAAATTATAAAGAATGCCAGCCAGCGTGCCAACATTACGCAGCCCACTTCATTTATTGTTTACAGCGTAAAGAAGCAGGTATTGCAGCAGGACCCAGAGCGCACGGAGCACAGAGCGGACAGCAGATAACGGAATTGCAGTTTTATTGCTTATAGATTATCAGAACATTTCAAAGGGAACACAGCCCCATTGGATATTAATCTATGGATTAACTACATCATCGTTTTTATCGTTGTAATGCCATTGAAGACCAGTTTAGACCAGACAACGAGGAAGGTAAGTCATTGTTAGCCTAGCGCATTAGCGCTAGCGCCATTTGTTTTGATGTACGTTTTTGTTGATAACGTCGCGAGTTTGTATCTTTCAGTGTTGGGCTGTTCAGGTGGGCACCGTTAGATTCTGTGTCTCCTTGCGATCATAAACAATGTGTTGGATGTGCAGCTAGGATAAGTAATAAGGGAGCGAGGAGTGATTTTCGGTGCTGTAATAGGTTAGCATTTTTCGCTCGGGGCTAATTCAGAGGCTCACTGTAAGAGTAAGCCTATGTTTTATTTTATTTTATTTTATTTATTTTTTAATTTTTTTCACAACAGTTGTATTTGGATGGAATGAATACCTATAGTGATAATTCAAAGTAATAAAATGATTTTTACAGTGAAAAAGTTCAAATGGAACCGATGGTTCCCAAATTACACAGAGGTGAGTCCGCTTAGACTTTATTTTTCTAAATCTCTCTAAAAAGGTCAAATTTCACTTGTTTTGCATCAATCTTGATACAGGGTACTTATTATATGTTATAGTTTGGATTCCTAAAGCTTTTAGTCTACTAACCCATCATGCAAGGGTGGTTTTCACTATAAGTAAAGGTTTTTTTTTAGGTGGACATTAGAATTTACATGTTTTTACTATGTTCCATCTGAATTTACTTTAAAATAAAAACATCTATATTGATTCTGACACTTCTACATCCAACTCACAGATGTAACCTTGCTTTGAGAAAAATAATTATTAATTTACCCCTTTTTTAGAAGTGAAGATATATCATTTGTTGTGTTAGTGGCATTTTCGAGCCTGAAACCTGAAAAACAGGCTCAGGGCTTAACTGGTTAAACCAGTGGTTCTCAACCTGTGGTATGTAAACCAGTGGTTCTCAACCTGTGGTATGTGTACCACTGGTGGTACGCCAGCTCCCGCTAGCGGTACGCGGAGGAATCTGACGTATAACAAGTAACATGTTGCATGATAATGTAATGCATGACCAACACCCAGTTTGTGATTATTATCTCTCTTTCATTCATTTAGGAAGAGTCCGAACCAGAGCTTGGAGGTGTTGCAGTGGCCCTCCTTACTGTCACCAGTGACAATGGCACAAGTCAAGTGCAATATCAGCCTGTGACTATCTCTGTTGTCATCGAAAATGATATTGTGGTCAGCCTCCCCAGACTTGCAGATGCATTCCTGGTAATGTTTGGACTAATGTATGCACTACACCTCAGCTATCCCAAAGGACTGACAAACACTTTCGAGTTCACTCAGAAGGTTTTACTTGGTCTGGAAGATGGTAAATTGTCGCCCAAGTTGCAGACCCTCAAGAATGACTTGCTGATGCATCTGTAGAAATGCATCTGAAAAACAGGTGTGGAGTGGGGCATTTTAAGGCATTTTGCCTCTACTTCAAAGTGATTTCCTTCTGAAATAAAAATGTCTTAAGAAAGTTGCTGTACCAGTTGCTGCAGGTTTTCAGCCAGGTGGTCAAGCTGCTCAATGTTCCCTTTTACTTGTACATGTTGTATTAATGTCAAATGTGTACTGTTTACCATTGTTCACATCAAAGTATCTTTGATTTTGAGGGATGACTGTTTGTACTTTAATAATACCAAATATTTCTGATTAACCGGCATTAATCATGTTTGTTTGTTGTTGTTGTTGTTGTTGTTGTTGTTGTTGTTGTTGCACTTTAACTCATCCAGATGAAGATTTGATACTTGTTAATGTAATTCATTTACATTTTAGAGTTTTACAGTTAAAGGGTTCAGACTGTCATTGTGATTTTATCAAAGTTGTTGCTCTATTCAGGTTTTAACCAAAATGTGCCAAAAGTACAATTGCCTTTGCATTTTTTTATTTTTTTTTATGACTACTTATTTTACTGTCTTGTAAATGTTAACAGGACAGCATGTTAAATAGGCTAGAAAATAAGAAATGTAGTAAAGCTGTTCAAGTTAGTCGCACTCGATTCAATTGAGGCAATCAGTTGTGTCAATAGTTTTAAGTTATGTGATTTTGAGTTGACTAAGTCAATGTGTTTGGTTTGGTTGAAATAATAAATATTGAGTTCTGTTAACCCAAAAAAAAAAGACTTTGAGTACTTATGTCTTTAAGTTCTGGTAACTTAATCCATTAGTAGAGGTGAATTCAAATGTTTAAGTCACAGTACCTGAACATATTTGAGTTGACTTAATAAGCCATTTTAATTTTACTGTAATCAATAGGTACATGTAGCATTTAATCCAATTATTTAAGTTCTTGAAAATTGTAAGTTTTGAGTTGATTAACTTAAAATACTTGAGGCAATCAGTTGCCCTAATTTTTTTGAGTTAAGTTTACTTATTGGGGCTTACAGTGTACTGTTGCTATCATTATTTTTCCAACATCAACATTTCAAATTGGTAGAACATTGAGTGTTTAAAGACGCTACAGAGAGCTCAGGTAAACCGAGACTAAATGAAAAGAGCAATCCTGCCTCCAGCAACACAAAATAAAATAAACATGTTTGTGTTTAAACAACTAATACAACTATCTGACACTCCACAACTCTGTAAAGAACGATTGCTCTCCTTAACACGAGGTCTATAACATTCACTGATGTCTGGAGATTGCCACTTCCATTAGCATCAGGAAATAACAATGATGCACACTGTTGCCTCAGTAAGATCTGAAATGAGAAAGGCTCATAATTATTCATCTGTAACTGATGCAGCAATCCACTCCACAAGGACTGTAGATTGTTTCTCCGTAAGGTGACCTCGGCTTTACTGAGGCACATCTTTAGAAATAAAACATCCGTATCCTCGCCACAGCAAACAAAGACTGCCTTGGTTCAACAAAGCTTTGCATCAATGTGAGTACTGCCGTGTTTCCAGAAAGTGAAGAAACACATAGTAAATACAGTACAATGCAAGCTTATTATTGTGGTCCATGCAGGAGGGAGAACAACAAGAGAGATTGTTCCACAAGACCTGCCGTTTCCTGGCCCAAGATATTCATTTGTTTGAAAGCTTCAGTGGGGAAGACAGGACTAATGGGCAGCCATGTAATGCTTTTCTCTCAGAGCATGTAGTGCGTGGTGGCATGTTTCATAATCAAAAGAAAAGGGGACCGCTTTCTGCCTCTAATCTCCACATTTGTTGCAGTTTATCAGCAGGCAATGTACGGCTACAGGAATCACTATTGCTCCGTTGTTAATATTTCAAGATGACAGGATAGTCACCACTGGAGAAATTGGTAAATACCTTTCATTTTTGAGATGTCGGCTATTATTATTGTGGATTGGAGACTCCTTGTAGAGCGTCTTGTATGAGAAATGGATTCTTATTTTTATGTGAAGACAAAGCCAAGTTTGTTAAATGTAACCATGGTAATAACATAACATAACATTTCAACGGTCAAAACACACTCAACTTATACACTAAGTTATTTAATTATTCAGTCTCTGTATGCTTCTTTGAATAATACAAACTGTCAACATAAAACATAATTTAATTTGCATAGGTTAATTAAAAACAGCTTCTTATTTCTCTTTTCTGTGTTGATCAGTAGACTAATTAAAAAGTTATCTTCACAATGTTGACAGCTATTTCACGTGACTTTAGAGTATAATGTTTTTTAATTGAAATGTACTGTGTGTATGTATGTGTGTGTGTGTGTGTGTGTGTATGTATGTATGTATGTATGTGTGTGTGTGTGTGTGTGTGTGTGTGTGTGCAATGTGTTGATTGTGTTCGAATCAAGGTGTGTTGTGCTAGTTCACAACCAGAGCTGTTCTTCACCGAGAGTGCCAAAGCCTAAAAAGGTATGTTTAGTATTTATTATACAAAAAGGGTAGCCAGTCATTAATAATTTAATAAAATTGATTGTCATGGTAACATAATGTCTTGATTGGAGGATTTAGTGTTTCATTTGAGTGAATGTAGTGTGTGAATGAGTGTATCTCTTGACTTTTGTTGCATGCAGAATGGCTTAAAATGTTCTTTTCGAAAAATGATTATAAATAACAATGTACTATGTGAAACGTATTCCACTTCACTGGACACTTTAACAATAAACCCATTTGATGTTTTTATTTGAAAAAAATAAAGAATCTGGCTGTAAAATGTAATTAATCAGTTTTTATAAATATCGTTTTTCCAGGTATTCTGTTCTGTACAGAAAGCAATACAGTAAAGGTTATACATGCAGACTTTGCAAAGAAACATGACATGTTGAAAAGTGCAGTCGCCCAACCTAATTAAAAATGTGGAGAAAGAAATTGCAGCCACAGCTAAGGAGCCATTACAGAAACTGCTCCAATGGGGCTATTTACTGAGAGTGGTAAGTTTAAACAGAGAACAACTCGTTAGAAAAACACCACCTTGGGTAAATACAACTTAGTAACCAGTGTTTTGTCACATTTCTGTATGTAGAGTCATGTTAATGATGCTGTCTGCAGGTAATGATGGAAACGCTGGACATGCTCCGTTACAGACTGGCCAACATGTCTGGACAATAAAACCCTTCCCTTCTATTTCTCTGCAGTGCATGCATAATGTTAAAGTCTTGTCTTTGCCTGCTAATTAATTGGAGAGGCAATTATATACGTGCAGGCTGTTCGGCCAGATGCCAGTGAACCCTGCTCTGAAGTCACGCTGGCAAATTAAACCTGACAAACACGAAGCATGCTAATCAAGAGTTTGTCTAATAGCAAGAACTGCATCTGGTCATGCCCGAGACTCAAAGACTCCATTCACTTAAATGAGAAGCAGTAATATCTGACAATATTTGAAATATATGCCTATTCATGAAGTTGGATTAAAGCAGGCAATTAGGGGAGTGACATGAAATGAAGACGGAAAACAAGACGGATACTTTTTAACAACAGTATGTTTTTTATGATTTCAGTTTTACATAGTTTGTGCTAAAGCAAACCGTACATTATGTGTAACAGGGGCTAAGGATAAATGGTAGTTTTTGGAAGAAAGCCATACTTTTGTTGGTAAATATTAATTTTAGTAACGCTGTTAAACCAATAGAGTGGAGGAGTGATGACATATTTGTGTAGCCTGACATAGGGGTGGGCGATATGACGATATATATCGTCGTGACGATATCAGGTCTCCACGATATGCTTTTTCAGAGATATCGTATCTATCTTGATAAAAAAAAAAAAAAAATTAATTTTTTTTTTTTTAAAACTATAAAAAAAATAAACGTTTCCCTTCAGTTATGCTAAAGTATTTTATTGCACTTCAAGTCTAAAGTTTACATTTTAATTGTTTGGCACTGACTTTTCCTCATTGATGTTTTATGTTTTACTTAGTTATGTTTTACCCTCCTTTTCATTTTTCTTGATGTTCACTGCTAGTGCTACCTCAGAAAGTTCATTTTTATACTGAGAAACTGTGCCTTGAACTTGAAGCCATATCAAAATGTTGAATTGTTCATTCAGGGATTCATTTCAGAAATAAAACCAGCTTGAAATGCTATTTTGGTCTGTTACTCCTTTTTGTTTTAGTTTCTGTTAACTTGTAGGTGCTTGTCCTGTTAAGTAACTTGAAAAATAACCATAATAACCGACATGAAAACATATCGTGATATATATCGTCTATCGTGATACTGCTTGAAAAATATCGTGATAATATATTTTTCAATATCGCCCACCCCTAGCCTGACGTGTAGTTAGCAAAGGCTTGATCAACAAACAGCGAACACACGTCTATGGCACTTACATGTTTAGTTCAGCAGGAAAATCTTCACATATTAACACCACTTTTATGGTTTTCTGAAGTGTAAATGCAGACATTTGAAAGCTAGCATAATGCTATTCAAACAGCATTATTCGCATGATCACATGATGTCACCACCGCTAAACTAAAGGTTAGCAACCGCGGACACATACAGAAGACACATGTAGAAGCCTCGGACATTCACTATGCGCTATTTACTGACATATTTGCAGGGCCGTCCCTGGCCAACATGAGGCCCCACGCAAAGTTATATGATGAGGCCCTCTGTTGCGCGAGCGTCGTCGTCGTCGACGGGGTGCTAGTGGAGCCTTGCAGCGGCGAAACCGTGCCCCACTAATTGCGCCGCATAAGCGCATAGGTGCGCCACATTTTCGGCTCAGTTGAGGCTCCCTCCGGAGGGTGAGGCCCCCTCCGCAGGGCGAGGCCCCAAACAGTCTGCATGATCGGCCTGTAGGGAGGGACGGCCCTGCATATTTGACGTCGTAGAACAAGCAGTGTTAACCACAGACCTTGTTTCAGGCATCTAACAAAAAACACGTTTAAAAACCATCGACTTCAAGACAAGGGTACCGGGAGTGGCAAAATGCTAACTCATTTCCCGGTTTTTGGACACATTGCTGCACCACTCTATGTTGGCTTCAGCTTTAAAGTTTATAGAAATGAACAAAAGTATGTTTTTCAGTAGCACCTTTTTAAAGATCTATATTTCACCTTACGTTATTAACAAGTTTGATCTGTATAGTTAAAGTAAACTACACTGTAACTTGTAGTCATGTTTTATTATCTTTGCTTTTAAATTTGGGTTTTTAAAGGCCATTTTATAATATGTTTCATAATGCTCTTAATGTCTTTCATTTTTGTAAAGCACTCTGAATTGCCTTGTGTTGAAAGGTGCTATATAAATAAACTTGCCTTGCCTAAAGTGCAAGATTTTATGCAAATCGAACAGACACTACACGCCACTTTAAAAATAATTAAATCACTTTTATCAGTCTCGGTCTGATGGTAATATTCCCTGCTCATGTCCTCAAGTGAAAACTGCACAGCTCCAAACTGTGATGTGCTGCAATGCAGATGGATGTTTCATTGCCCTGCTGGAAGGAGAGCAAAGAGGAAACGTTGCCTCCATTCTCGCTGGGGTCTCTCTTGTCTCGGCAGCCCAAAGTCAAAACGCATGATCATCATTCCTTCTCTCTTTATCACC